GTGAAGTGAATATATTATAGGTCCTTAGTTCGCAAAAACGCTTGCTACCTCTAAGCCAGTCAATTTATATACTAGGCTCACTATACTAGATCCTGATTTACTCTAGCCAATCAGCGAATCTAATTGTGTCCGTAATCACTTAGTCCGTATTTACTTAATGTGACGTACTTGTAATAAGTATGACGTCATCCGCCTGTTCAACATGCATTCAGTGGTGTCATACATTGCGAATTAGGCACCAGGCTATTTTTTTCAAGGATGGCTATGCGCCTACAAACTTTGGATTTACTCTGGTATGCATACGACTTTTACAATTTTGCTTCTGTCGACAACAACCAGACTGCGCTTTAGCAACCACAAGCAGAACTCGGCGTGTATAAAAAAACACAACGTGCAAGTTCCGGCCGACTTACAAATACTGAGCGAGCAACTCAACATTTCATTTGGCTGCGACGGGAAGACTACATCAATTCTGATCGCCGAAATTCAACATCAGACAACCAATGTGAGCTAAAAGCTGGTACTGTAGACTTTGGGGGCAACTCTTGCAGTCACCGTTTTTCCTGCCTTTAAAAGTTTTGGAGCATTTTGATTCAGACCTGTCTCTCGCTTGCAATGTGAGACAAAGTCGAAATGGTTATGTTCAACATTATCTACTAAACAACTTAAATTAAGCAGCAATAAAGGTGACCATAGAGAATTGTCAGTTGTCAACGGTATTTGAAAGTAGCACCAAGACTAAATGTCTACACACGATGATCAGTCTCCACGAAGAAAAGAGCAAAGTTTAATGACGAGCTCACCTTTTGCTGTTTTAAAAACAGTGGGAACTACAACTCTACTGTATCATGGTGGACAACAAATATTGGCGTTACTACAATTGGCGGTCATAGGGTCTCCTTGTATTTCTAGGCATACGAATAAACTATTGAAAAAAAAAGCCTGTCCAAAGCTAAAGTTCTCGACAAGACTTGGTAAAAGCAAACTCGTCATGATGCCTTGAACGTCAATAAAGACCTATAAGCAATGATGTTTTGCCGTGAAGTACACAGTCAAGTCCAATACGTCATTTGTGCATAGGATTGAAAGCTACCAAGGGACGCAGAAATGTGCAGACGTCCATGCATCCGTCAGATGAGTCCTCGTTGACAACATCGCATTCCTTCTCTAATCACGGTAAGGATTTAGACAAACGTTATGACACGTACGGCTGACAGCTTCCTCGAGCAATTTGTTTCCAGCTTTGATGAAAATATCGAGCTTGAAGAGTTTATCTCGCCGATCATGACACTCACTAGCTTAGGGAAAAAGAGAATCAAGCAGATTCTCAGTCACCAAGGGCTGGAGCCTTTCGCAAAACGAGGCAAAGCACTTATAATTTCTATCTAGAATATCTTTAATTTCTTACTCATTAATAACTATTCGCATATTCACTTAAGAAAAATAACACAAATCCCATCGCAGAATATTCAACTTTATATCCTGAAACTAATTTAGCAATTGTTTTAATCAGATTTTTCATTAAATTTTAAATCGAGAGTGGACTCCCATTACATCCGTTATTGTACAGACACTGTAGCCTTATCCCAGTGCTTTGCGAGGCCCTCACAACGTTCGCGCAAACATTCATCGACAAGCGAGATGAGGATTATTCTTCGAGGTGAAAAGAAGAGTGAGACTGTCATCTGTGAAGTCGCTAGGCATGCAAACAGACAAGCATCCCTTTCCATCTCTAATCTCCCCACTGCTGTCAAATGCTTCCCATATATCTTGTCAACTTATCCCTCAGTCACGATCCGCATTGTGAGAAATCGTCTGGAGAGGTAGCTGGACGTGTCGTAGTCACTGTCGCACTGCTTTTCAGTGAGGCATTTGCAATTTGCTGGTGCTGAATGTTCGTGGCGGCGCTGCCCTCGAATTTGACCAAATTGATTGCGCCGCAGAAAGAAGTCGAGGAATTTATACTCAAATATATGCGCTGTAATCCTACACCCTCTACGTGACGGACGCACAAAGAGATGGTTAAGTGCGGTGGAGAGGATTAGCAGCGAAGACAGAAGAGCAAATTTAAGGTAGTTTACGGCTCTTGTTGCTTTGTGAGATTATCAAGTGGTGGATGATACAAGCGAATGCAAGAATCGAATGATGAGTCGTAAGCTGTCATTATACTTGCACGAAGAACACGAAAATCGAGTGTTAAGCTGATCGAAAATTTGCAAAAATTCAAAGACTGTTCAAAGTGCAGTTAGATGTTATCGATGTTATTGGCATTAAGCAATAAATTTAAGGTCACCAAGAGATTGGCAAACAGCAATTGATTCACAGCTGGATATTCGAAACCAGAACAAGTTAAGTCTCGTGAGCGACAAATTCTAGCTCTTCAAAAGCAGCGCGTTGAAACTCCTGCGTCAGACGCAGTTGCACAATCAGTTCTGCCTCTTCCGACTCCAATCGTTCAATCCTTTTTTCAGACACCAACCGTCTCTTGTTCTCCTCTTTCAAGTTGTCATGCGCTTTCTTCACCAGTTCCTTCTCATACCCTCTTTGCACGATATGACGCTGACGAATGGCTTGTTTTTCCTTGTTTCGAATTTCTTGCGAGCGCTCTACTAGCCAGGATCGATCCATTTCTCTCTGTCGTTCCATATGATTCAAGTATATTTTCTTCTCTGCACGGGTTTCCTTTACGACCTGAGCACGTTGCGATGCGTACTTTGCAATAATCTTATTGCGACGTTCCCTTGACAACGATTGCAATGCCTGGTTACATTGGCGTTGAGATTCGATATCGCGTTGCAGCTGGTCGTTCGCTGCTTGCTTAACACGATGCTTGGCATCATTACGCTTCTTCATGGCTTCAATTTCTCCAGCTCTTCGAATAGCATCTTCGATCCGTTTTTGTGCACGAGCGTCTTCTGCTCGTAAATGAGCGAGTCGATTTGCAAGTAATTGAGCATCAATTTCAGCCTGCTTTCGCTGCTTCTTTGCGTCCAGCATTGCACTATGTGCTTCCAAAAAACCGTCATCCTGTCGCTGGTGACGAGGAGATTGTCGAAATGTATCGTCAATTTCGTCTGCGTGCTCGTCAATCCACCCCAGAAATGCATATTTGGCAATTTCACCTGTCACATGTGGATCCATATCGTCCAAAGCGCATTCTAAGACTTTTGGAGATGCAATAAAGCCCATGTCAAGAAGCATGGTACCAACATGTTCCGTGCCAATAGTACTATAGAAACAATCACTTCAATAAAATTGTGCTCATTCAATTGTACTGCTATTTTGTATTTTACCTATTGCCCTTGTCGTATGGAGCGAAAAATGCGTCAAAGTGGGGCGTTTCGCTAAGCTCAGTACTTCGAATGCTGTGAACATTCGCCGTCATCTTTGTCTGGGATATTCACTGATTCAGCTCTTAGTTCGAGGACAAAAATAGTCGCATCTTAATATAAAGCTGAATATTTTCTTGCTGTCAGCTTGAATGTCCATCTACTCTTTTCATCCAACGTTTTAGCAGCGTCTGCCATTTATGCTTCGTCATTGGTACGCAAATTATCGACTCGTTGATGAATCATTGCAGCTGCTCCATAAACGCAGTTTTCGGGTCTGAATGGCCCAAGATCTCGGCTTCTCTGGATGATGACCCTATGAATGAATTGATATTTCCAAAGTTACGAAAACATAGAAACGTGGATTACAGAATACAATTACAATTCAGGAGTGGTCACCCATGCAGATGTGATTAACGATTAATAGGTAGCAGAAGGTTGAGTACGGGAGCTTTTTTGATGACAGGATCCAGAATTTTTTTTTCACTATTAGATACCCACTGCTTCGGAAGCAGGACATCGCGCACTTCGGCTACAATGTTGTGATACCCTCTCATCAGACGTAGAGACACTGGTGACATGACTTCAGCTGTTCAGCTTATTTCGAATAACCTTTAGTCGAGTCGTGAGTAGCAACTGTCAGGTAAGGAGGATCTCATCTCACTGAAGTTTAAACAAAGACACAACTTACCGTAAATTGGTGCTAGTAACCAGCATTTCAGAGCTGTCAAATATCGTTGACACGATTTAGATCTGCTATAAATGCTTGACACGCTACGTCTTTGTCATATCTATCGAAATTATCACTTAGTCAAGGACGCACCAATGTCGATCATTTATACTCCCGCGCGTTCCATCGATACTAACACCTGGTTCTATCGAATTGGTTTATGATCGCGAAGATTGTGTTATTCTTCGTTTCAGGATGTCATGCGTCTATCAAGCCCTAGACCAATCAACATTTGTATTGGAACTTGATTTAGAAAATACTGTATGGTGATGTGGGAGTTGCCGATGACTATGTGCACAACCAAGTCACAATCATCTGAGCCTTCAGACGTTAAGTGAGTGTAGGGTGCGTCAAGGAGGATAAAATATGCGTGGTTTCATTTGGTGCATTAACATGTATGTACTATCTGGTTGTTAAGTCTTAGAGTTCAGTACTCTCGTTTATTGCGTAACTGATCCATATAGACCTGGGATTTCAACTGTGTCTAAAAGTAAGACTGACATTTTTACGCCATAGCGTTTTTATATTTTGTAGATGTGACGTCGAACCAAGAGCAGCGTGCTTCAAATGTATAGCGTAAATGAAGTGTTAGCCAGTGTGCAGCCAGCACTTTTTCTAACTTCATCCCTCAAAAACTACCGCTTGGTCCTCGGAGAGAAGTCCCAGTCTCGCGTCAGTCTTGGCTAAGTCGGGCTCATTAATGTTCAGCGAGACTTAGGTTTAGGTCCGATCAAGAGATGTAATCGCACCAATCAAGAAAGCACCATTATTTTTGGCAACATACGGCCTTCGGAAATCATCGAAAAGTATCTTTACTCCGTCCTCCAAGCTAAACAGAGGATGTTTTCAATCCATAGCGAAATACGTTAAAGCGATGCAGTTTTTATGCAGCAGATTCAATGAGTTCTTTTGGTCTTACTTCATCGGCATAGATGCCTCGCGCTAAGTAAATTATAGCCACAAGCTAATTACTTGTGATCACTAGAACGGGATGGAGCCGCTGGATACACAAAAAGGTCTGATACTTCAAGCACTGAAGGAACTACCAATTAAATTACATGATAGGAAATACAGGAGTAGCCTCGTATTCACTCGTAGTCGGGCAGATAGGAGCCACAGAGATTAAAAAAAATGCTGTTCAATATGCGAGTTAAATAACAGTTTCTATCAATTTGAAGTGCGTGGTTTGGAGCGATAAAAGTAAGCTCGATACGTGTAATGGCACTATTACTTTCATTAGCGATCATATTTGTGATGGCCATGATGGCCATCACATATTGGTCGCACTTGTAGTCAATCTGCAGCGGGGCTTCCGTAGCGTTGCGCTTAGAGGAAGCGAAATTTAGGTCACCGACCTTTCCTTCTATACTTAAAACAAGTACGAGTTAGCAGATCGCAATCCGCTTACTCCAAGAGTAATTATTGCCGTAACGCAAGGCTAATTACTCTTCCGTCTATAATCCAAATTGATTTTTATTTATGTTTATCTGCATT